GAGGAGGCTGCCAAGAAGAGCCGACCAGCTGCGACTGCGACCGAGCAGAATCAGCAGCAGCTTGTTTCAAGTGGTGGGCCCCCTCCGCTGACTCCGAAGCTGCCGCACGATGGCGACACCAGAACTGCGGCGCCGATCATGACTCAGGTCATTGAGTGGGTTATTTGCCTTCACTTCAGTCAGATGTTATTTTGGTTTTAGATTTTCGCCCTGGTCAGAGTGAGAGACTCGCTTATGCTCAGGTGCAGTGGCACATCAAGGCCAAATGGAAGGTTCCAACTGGCAAGCTGGAGGAGCTGCTGCCGCTTGATTGGGGCAACCAGGTGGCTGGCGCTGGCTCCACCTACAAGGAGCCGTGGCAGCCGGGGAATTGTGCCAAATCATTGGCAAAGGAGCGGCTTTATGAGGCTGCAGGAAGTTTGTTTTGGTTGAGCGCTATCCCGGATGGCGCGGCTACAGCTGCAGACATCACCTATGATATGGTGGTCCAAGCCAAGACGAGCTTTTTGCAGCCCCAGGACATTAATTGTTGGTGGTTGAATTGCCATGCTACCCCTGAAAACTTAAACTGTATATTAGTTCGTTTAAACTCAGTTCCCCACATGAATGGTTGAACCTTTCACAAGCTCCCGACGCTTGGCTTCGTTTCAGGAGATATCGAAGGAGCGGTCCAGGATCATGTTGCCCGTGAAGCTGGAGTGCAAGATCTCCTCTGACAGGTTGCCCGCTGCAGAGGAGTTTCCACAGTCGCTTCAACTTCTGCATGGGCATTGTCTGATTTTTGCCTGGTGGCTGGCAACGTTTGAGGCGCTGACCTCCAAAGACCAGCAGGACAAGTTTGAGCTGCTCATGGAGTGCGCGCTGACCCCAACGCTGCTGCTGAGAGTTCTCAACACCACTGCGGAGTGTGCTGCTGCTTCCTGTCATCGTATTGTGGCAACTTGTGAATTTGAATAATTTCATTTTGAGTCGTAGGTTGCTGGTTTTTGCTGTCTGGGGATGTGGGTTGTTATAGTTGAACTCTGTTGTGGAATCAACTAGGCCAGCATCGGGGTCTCCAACACCATGCACGAGCTGAGCACTCTGGCAGACCCGTTTGCCATCTTCAGCGGCAAGCTCAAGGTGGTCATTGATGACTTGAGCAAGGCGGACAGAGCTTCTCAGGCGAAGATCCTTGCAGCTCTGAAGGTTCGCTTCCCCGACCTAGCATACGGAGGCAACCGCCTGAACAAGACAATGTTGGCCGCAGCAGTGAGTGTGGGCAACGCATTTGCAACGGGAAGCACAAGCTTGCAGCTGTTGCAGCTCGTTCTTGCAATAAGCCGGCCATGTTTGGTTTATTATGTATTTGGCCTTTGTTTGCGTCAGCTTGCTAGTCTTGCTCGAGAGTTCAAATAGCATTGGCCCCGGGCAAACATCAATAATTGATACGAGGAAGTATTTGGAGCGGTGGTGGGGGCGCCACATCTTCAGCAACTACAGCAAGCTGTATCGCTTTGTCACGGTCGCTGCCAACTTGGGGAAGGGCTCTGACGATGGGCCGGAGTCGCAGGACAACTTTTTGCTGTGAACTGAGCTGTGTTCATGGTATTTAGGGAGACTTAATTTGTTTTCAATGTCCCAGGCCCATAATTGTCACTTTCTTGTCATTGTGTTGTCAATGTGTTGTCACGCATGAATCGTTCCGTTGGAGGGCGTCTAAAACTTGTCAGGCATGAAGGAAGGGTCTTCTGGGCCGCTTTGACCTTGTCACGTGATGATGTGAGGGGGTAGGGTCACCACTCTTAAATGCAAGAAGGACTCCTCCCCCCGTTGCCCTTTGTTCGCACAGGTGCTAGTCAGAGCAAAGGCAGCCTCAGATTAACATGTTCAGTGTTTTTGCGCCTTGCCAAAAGGTGATGCATCCGGGGGATACATTTGCCGACACCAGTTTTAGAACACAGTGACAGATGTTGGCAGATCTTTGTTGGGGTATGATTGAACTCAAACCTCGAACACCCTCACATGTTCTTGCAGCGCGCCAAACACAGAACGGTGAATGAGATCTATCATGTGTGTGTGTGCAACTGCATGTGTGATTGTTTCAGTGCGGTTTTCGTGTAGATGAAGGCGCCATCGCATTGTTTGAAGGTGAATCCGTAGTAGTGCCGTGCCCTTGTTCCATCCTGCCACACTAGCCTCAGAGTGTGTCTCCAATATTTTGTTGGTTTTGCCATCGGGCGATGGCATTATACTGTATCCACACAGCAGGATATGGGGTACTGTGGTGACACGGGTTGGGCTTGTGCAAGTTGGCGGGCCGGATTTTCAACTTGGTGACAATGTGTGGTGCGTGACAGTGTTGGGTTGAAGTTTGTTTCACAAGGGTGGGTGCCTTTGCCAAAACAGTTTATTTGAACATGTGCCCTCCAGGATGGCCTGGAGAGTGTGCTTGCTGCCCTCCTGTATGACTTGAAGGTGGAGCAATGCAAAATCGGGGAGCTGAATGATGAATTTTTGTTTGGCAAGGAGAAGAACGGCACGGGCTGGGAGCACATGGCTTGGGCGCGCATGCAGCTTCAGAACTTTCTGCGCTCTGTGGCTACGAAGTCACGGGCATCAGAGGCTTGCCAGGCTGCCTTGGTGGACCTATCCCCACTTGCGCTTGTGTCAAAGCTGGAGCCTTCCCCGCCCAGCGATGAGGTGGACAAGACGGCCGACAAGACTGTGGCCGCCTACGAGGAAGAGGTGCTGAAAAAGGCCAAGGATGCCATGCCCGCGAAGGAGCACCAGCTGCTGGATGTTTTTCACTCCTGCGTCGCAGGAGAGTTTTCAGAGGCGCTGGCCAAGATTGCCTTGGAGTCCAAGGGCGATGCCACAGCAGTCGTCCGCATGGTTGAAAAGGACACCACCAGCATGGGCAAGTCCATCGACAGCGCTATGAAGGCTTTGGAGGACAAGGCCGTGCAGTCAGAGGTGGCTCTGCCTGCCTTGACAGGAAGAGCGTTGATCCGGTTGGGATCCAATGATGATGAAGCGGAGCGGGTGCTTCGTGCTCAGAAGGAAAGAAAGGAGGTCTGGGAGAAGGCCATCGCGGTGAGGGAGAAGTACTGCACCCTCCACAACCTCTCTGACCTGCCATCGCCGCCAAAGACCGGTGCGGAGCTGAAGCAGCTGCTGCTTGACACAAGGTCTCAGAACGAGGGCGTCAGCTTGGAGCTCAACGCAAAGCACCGGGCAGTTATTTTCAGCGCGGACTTGGTGGGGCCAATGACCAGCTTCACCCACGGCGCCCTGACGACCGATGCTACAAAGACGCTGGCCATGTTCGCAAGCTGCATCAAGGAGCTGGGCTGCAGAGAGAGCGAGCTGCACATGATGTTTGACGGGAAGTCTCGCGAATGCAGGCGCGTCCTGGAGGATGCTTTGTCCAAGAGGCCGTCCACTGAGTGCGTGGAGCTTTGGGTGTCGTACCAGAAGGCAGCGGCGTGCAGAGTTAAACAGGCAAACAAAGGTTTGAAGGATTTATGTTATGTTTAAATTCATTGTCATGATATGCCTGTTGTTTGGCGGCCCCACATTATTCAAGTTGTGGTCACATCGCCTTTGTTGTGTGGAAGCCTGCCCCACCCCCCTGATTCAGGCCTGCAAGCTTGGAGGCACCCGTGAGGTGTTTGGCACGGACTGCACTCGGGAGGTGGCGTTGATTGGTCTTCCAGCCAGCCGGGTGAGACTGGCGTGCAAGGCCCGCGAGGACAGCGCACAGGGCTTATGATCTTTTTCACTGTTCAATTATTTTCTGAATCATTTCTAGTATTATGAAGACATGCAGTCAGCTTTGAACTCTGTTTTGCGCCAGGATGAGTTCGTGAGGGACAGCAAGGCCTCGCTGACCACTGCGGACTGCTTGTATGCCAATGTGCCGCCTGCAGAGGCCACTTGGTGCAATGCGTGGCCATTGATTTAATTTCAATTTTTATTTTGATTGTCATGGTGAGACTCTTGTTGCTTCAGCGGTGCCAAGGTTCAGAGCCTTCCAAGGGTGTCCAGGGCTGACAAAGCCTCGATCTTTAACATGGGCAAAGACGAGGTGATGGCGCCCTCTGGCTGGGAGGAGGATGACATCCCGATGTTCTTCGCGGAGTCGAAGGTTCGGGCGTTTTGGCTGGGCATCCTCCGCAACCACCAGGTGGTCGAGGTGGAGGATCTGACGCCAGGCTCCGGTTGCCTGGCGTCCGCTTGCAGCTTGGTTGTTGCAATGTCGGCAACCGCTTTGTTTAAATTTACTATTTCTGGTTTTCCCGACCGAATCATTTTGCGTGTTGAAGGCAGCTTGCAAGTTGAGCGTTTTGTAATTTCATGAGATCATGACAGTTCTCTGAATTGACATTTTGACAAGGGGGTAAGGGAGATGGGCACTAAAGGGTTTTTGATGGGATAGGGCCAGATTGTTCTGAGGCATGCAGTTGGGCATCCGCTACCGCGGGTGGACTTCGTGCAAGCGGTCGTGGGCATGGCTCTCAAACGTGATCAACAAGGAGGCGGCCCTGCAGATTTGCACCAGCGGAGCCCCGCTACATCAGCAGGGCTTGGCCGAGCTGCTGGAGATGCACTTCCCGGAGGAGATGCAGGGGGGCAGTGAGCAAACCGGCGACGATGATGAGTAGAGAAAGAGGGAAAAGTGCGCAGCTGTCTGTGCGTGCTTTCATTGAAATCCATTATTGAAATGCAATGATTGGCACATCATTTGAGTTTGGTGCATCATTCTCTGCCTTTGCCACGCCTAGGTGGGACAGCCTGGAGCTGGCATTGAGGTAGAAAAAGCGGCAACGTGCTGCGATGGGCAAGTGGAGATTCGGGGAAGGTTTGGGAACTGTTTGGATTGACTAATATTTTTCAATCAGGCTAGAACCACCACCCAGTTTGGTGTTTGCACTCTCCTTGTTCCTGGCCAGTCCTGGGTCATGGGTGCTTGGCTTGCGAGCTCATCCGCCCCTGTGACGGGAAAGCCGGATGCCCAGGCCTCGAAACGAAGAGGCGTGGGATCGAGCGGAGAGACGCACTCCGCTGGGCGCCAAATGCCGGGCATGGATTTGATGTGCATGAGTTGCAGCCAGGATTTCCGCTGGCAATGAGTGAGTTAGCTGAATTGCTAGACCTTGCTTGAGCCACAAGCAACTGTAGCTCTGTGTGGGTGTGTCGATGATGTTACTTGTTTGAGCACCACCTCAGTTTCGTCGAATATGTTTGTGTATTATTCCTTGTGGGTGTGTGGGCTTCTTGTTCTCCTGCTTTAGGTCCTTGAATTCTCTTGGTTTTGACAGATTTCAGTCATGTTTCCCGTCGTTGCTGCGTGACACTAGTTTGAAGTTGTTAGCACTTGTGGCTGAGGTCGCGCCCTGCAGAAGAGGCGTATGCGGACCACAACAGCAGACAAGTGGCGCCCTGCACTCGGGCATCATCAAGCCCGAAAGCTGCTGACAGCGCCCGGCAAGTGTTCGAACGCGTCCGTTTTCCTGTCGAATGACAAAGGTGTCCACCCAAGATTGGCGCATGTGACCGCTGATGAGATTGGTTGACCCTTCCACCGCTGGAGTCGTATTTGACTCCCATGTTTCATTGCTTGCCGGGAGCGCCGTTGCTTCCAATTTTTTTAAAGGGGTTGCACGCTGAGGCCGCGATATGAGGAAGTTCAATACTCGGATCGAGCAGTTGCCAGACGCGCTCCGTCGTGCAGCCCCAAGTGACTGGACAGGGAATATTTGATGCATGGCGCTGGAATCGCGTGAAACGGTACCCGGTACAGTCTTGTGAGCAGTCCGTGTGAAGAGCTTGTTGGCAGCTTTTCGTTCTGTCCCTGCCAGACAGTTTTCAAGCTTGCTCGAGTCAATTAGTCAAATAAGAGGGTGTAGTTTTTCACTTTGTCCGTGATGTTTGGCTTTAGCATTTGCCCTTTGTGTTGTCGCTCTTCAGCGTCGCTGCGTGACGCTAATTTGAAGAAGTTAGCACTTGTGGCTGAGGCCGCGCTCTGCGGAACAGGAGGCGTATGTGGAGCACGACGACAGACGAGCAGCGCCCTGTACCCAGAAAGACGAAGTCCAGAAGCTGCTGACAGCACACAGCGAGTGTTCGAACGCGTCGTTTTCCTGGCGAACAACAGGTCTCCACCCAGGATTGGCGCATGTGACCGCTGATGAGATTGGTTGACCCTTAGCACATTAGGCATAGCCAGCTCCGATGGAGTCGTGATTGACTCCCATGTTTCATTGCTTGCCGGGAGTGCCGTTGCTTCCACATTTCTTTAGGGGTTGGATGCTGAGGCCGCGATATGAGGAAGTTCAGTACTCGGATCGAGCAGTTGCCAGACGCGCTCCGTCGTGCAGCCCCAAGTGACTGGACAGGGATTATTTGATGCGTGGCGCTGGAATGCGCTTGAAGCAGTACAGTCTTGCGAGCAGTCCGTGTGAAGAGCTTGTTGGCAGCTTTTCGTTCCGTCCCTGCCAGAGGTTTCAAGCTTGCTCGAGTCAATTAGTCAAATAAGAGGGTGTAGTTGTTCACTTTGTCCGTGATGTCGTTTGCTTTTGGCATTTGCCCTGTGTTTTGTATCTCTTCAGCGTCGCCGCGTGACCCTAGTTAGCACTTGTGGCTGAGGCCGCGCTCTGCGGAACAGGAGGCGCATGTGGACCGCGACGACAGACGAGCAGCGCCCTGTCCCCAGAAAAACGAAGCCCGGACAGCGCGCGGCGAGTGATCGAACTCGTCGTTTTCCCGGAAAACGACTGTCCACCCAAGATTGGCGCATGTGACCGCTGATGAGATTGGTTGACCCTTCCACCGCTCCTTGTTACGCTCCGACGGAGTCGTGTTTGCATGTTTCATTGCTTGCCGGGAGTGCCGCTGCTTCCACATTTCTTTAGGGGTTGGACGCTGAGGCCGCGATATGAGGAAGTTCAGTACTCGGATCGAGCAGTTGCCAGACGCGCTCCGTCGTGCAGCCCCAAGTGACTGGACAGGGATCATATGATGCATGGCACTGGAACGCGCTTGAAACAGTACAGTCTTGCGAGCAGTCCATGTGAAGAGCTTGTTGGCAGCTTTTCGCTCCGTCCCTGCCAGAGGTTTCAAGCTTGCTCGAGTCAATTAGTCAAATAAGAGGGTGTAGTTGTTCACTTTGTCCGTGATGTCGTTTGCTTTTGGCATTTGCCCTGTGTTTTGTATCTCTTCAGCGTCGCCGCGTGACCCTAGCTAGCACTTGTGGCTGAGGCCGCGCTCTGCGGAACAGGAGGCGTATGTGGACCGCGACGACAGACGAGCAGCGCCCTGTCCCCAGAAAAGCGAAGCCCGGACAGCGCACGGCGAGTGATCGAACTCGTCGTTTTCCCGGCGAACGACTGTCCACCCAAGATTGGCGCATGTGACCGCTGATGAGATTGGTTGACCCTTCCACCGCTCCTTGTTAAGCTCCGATGGAGTCGTGTTTGACTCCCATGTTTCATTGCTTGCCAGGAGTGCCGCTGCTTCCACATTTCTTAAGGGGTTGGACGCTGAGGCCGCGATATGAGGAAGTTCAGTACTCGGATCGAGCAGTTGCCAGACGCGCTCCGTCGTGCAGCCCCAAGTGACTGGACAGGGATCATATGATGCGTGGCGCTGCAATGAGCTTGAGACGGTACGGTGTGAAGAGCTTGTTAGCAGCTTTTCGCTCCGTCCCTGCCAGACATTTTTCTAGCTTGCTTGAGTCAAATAGTCAAATGATGTAATTGTTCACGTTGTCAGTTTTTAGCGTTTGCCCTTTGTTTTGTCGCTCTTCAGCGTCGCTGCGTGACGCTAGATTGCTGAGGTCGCGCTCTGCAGAACACGAGGCGTATGTGGACCGCGACGACAGACGAGCAGCGCCCTGTACCCAGAAGCTGCTGACAGCACACGGCGAGTGTTCGAACGCGTCGTTTTACCCGGCGAATGACAAAGGCGTCCACCCAAGATTGGCGCATGTGACCGCTGATTAGATTGGTTGACCCTTCCACCGCACCTTGTTAAAGCCCAGCAGGCTTTGATGGCGTCGTGTTTGACTCCCATGTTTCATTGCTTGCCGAGAGTGCCGTTGCTTCCACATAGACGCACTCCGTCGCGCAGCCCCAAGTGACTGGACAGGATCATTTGATGCGTGGCGCTGGAATGCGAGTGAATGCGATTGAATCGGTACAGTCCTGCGGGTAGCCCATGTCAAAAGGGTGTCGTTTTGCACTGTGTCCGGCGTGCCTCTGCGTCACTCCGCGGCGCTAGCTTGAACACTTGTGACTGAGGTCTGCAGAAGAGGAGGCGTATGCCGACAGAGACGACAGACGAGCAGCGCCCTCTTCCCAGATATAACCAAGCCCAGAAGCTGCTGACAACACACGGTGTGTGTGTGTGTTCAAACAGTTGCTTGAGCACAGAACCAGGACTTTTGCCTCGAAAATGACTTGTGCTGAATTCGAGCTTGGGACAGTTTGTGACCTCTGGTCAGACGATTGCAGGAATACAGCGGACACCACCAACCATACTGCAAATTACCGAATTGGAGTACATGTTCAATGTGTGGTGCCAGCTCGACAGTCATGTTAGACTCCGTGCTATGGTTCTTTGCTTTCCGTGCCTGCCCTTCGTCTCAAGGCCTCGAAATGAGGAGGTTCAGCGAACGGATCGCACAGATCGTGCAGATGCCAGACGCACCCCCTCGTGCAGCCCCAAGTGGCTGGACAGGGCTGGGAAGAATGGATGTGTGGTGTGCTTGAATCTGAGCAGTTCTGCAGGCAGTTGGTGTGAAGAATTGACAACTCGACCCAAAAGGGAGCATATGAGAATGTCACAAAGAACTTGCTACAGTACTACTATGACCCGTTTCATGAATTGTGTCCTAGTCTGATGGATTTCACTCAGGTTCCCCAGCGTTGCTGTGTGACGTTTAGTTAAAAACGCAAACGCTTGTGGTCCAGGTTGCGCTCTGCGGAAGAGGAGGCGCGTGCGGACCGCGACAACAGACGAGTGGCGCCTGACACCCAGAGGTCGGCAAAGCGAGAACTCGTTGCCAGTTCAACCGCACTATTTACGGATGGGTGACAAGGGCGTTATCTCTTGTAATGGCTTGTGCTGAACTTGAGCTTTGTTCAAGCGTCCTGCTTGTATCTGCTTGTGATTGCTTGGTGATCGGTCAGATAGTTCCAGAATATCTGACAACTCCATTTATTTGTGAATATTTGGGCAGCTCATGTTGGTTGCCAGCTCAACTGACGGTCATGTTTGACTAGCTGCTTCATGTGTTGTTTTCTTCTTTTTTGACGGGCCTGCCAGTTGTTGCACGTGTCAGAGGAGTGGACGCTGAGGCCTCAGAATGAGGTTCAGCAAGCGGATCACACGGATCGTGCAGATTCCAGACGTGCTCCCTCGTGCAGCCCTCAAGTGACTGGACAGGGAAGTAAAGCAGTTCTGCAACTGGGCTCCACATCTTGCTCGAGCCAAATAGGTAACAACCAGCACCCTCCGACTACTGCCCAGGGGGCCAGGTAGATAGACATTTCCCAAGAACGACCGTAGGTGGAAAAACTACTGTCAATTATTTTATTTGCGAAATGCCCATAGTTAACTACCGCTAGCTACTGCTTACAACGGGGAGATGCCATAGCAGGGGTGGTAGCAATCAAGGGGTGGCAGCAAGTGCAGATAAGTGCAGCAAGCGCCTCACAGCGTGTCGCCCCCGTGTCACCCCGTGCCACCTGCGTGTCACCCAGTGTCACCCCGTGTCGCCTAGACGAGCAGCGCAGTATGCCCAGATATTTGGAAGCCCGCAAGTGAGATAGTTGCCACCAGGCCTGCCATTCGTCGCACATGTCAGGGGACTGGACACTGAGGCCTCGAAATGAGGAGGTTCAGCGAGAGCGCACGGATCGTGCAGATGCCAGACGCGCTCCCTCGTGCATCTCCAAGTGATCAGACAGGTCTGAGTCTGTTTGATGTGTGCATCTACATGAGCTTGAAACAGCACGTGTCTTTCTTCAGTTTGTGTGAAGAGTTGTTATCACAGTTGTTCATGTCGGTTGATTGTCTGAAGGACCTGCTGCTTTGTTTCCAAAAAAGAGAAGGAGACAATGAAGTTGTGTTGCTCTCCAGTGATGCTCGCTGACACCACTTTGATGCTGTCACTACTTGTGTTTGAGGTTGCGTTCTGCAGAGGAGGCGCGAGACTGCGGCACAAACGCATGCGTCAGGCTTGTCATGCTTCCATTTGCTCAAGAATATGTTTGATTTTCGCTTGTTGGTTTGAACAGGGTTTATCACTACTGGAAATATGGTGTTTGTTTTGTCAAGGGGTCTTAACCAAATGGAAGCATGGGGTGTTATGCGGAATCGCTTGTGCTTTTCTTGCTGGCTTTGCGTCACCGGCCTTCTCTCGATATTGTTGACAGACCAAGCTCTCAAGACTTCCCTCCGAAATGGACACTCCCTGTGAGTCGACCAATTGGCTGTGGGTCAAAACGAATGGGATCCCATTTTGCGGTAGGTGAATTCACCAGGTGCACCACCCATTTTAGTCGATTTCAGTGGAGATTGGGATGTTCACTGGGGGGTAACCGGGATTTGGACCCATGGCCAAGGGCTAAGCTTCGTCACAGGCTGAGTTGCCGTGGAGACAGATCGACCGGGTTGGGCCTCCCGTTTGGCCTCAGCCTCACAGGTGCCCTCCGGACCGCGCGGCGCTGAAATCGCAGCGCTGAAGGGCGAGTTTCTGCTTGCTAAATGGACTACAGACAAAAGTTGGGACCCTGATTCTAACCTCACTGGAGGACCTAGTTGTTCTTCGAACAACCCGCAAATGATCAACCCCACAAATCAAGGATGGGCTCCCGGGGTTCTACTGGATGTCACTGAGCAACTGAGAATCTGGGCACATGAAATCACAACAGTTGCAACCTTGGGCCCCCCGATCGCAGGTGTTCCCTGTGAAACGCTTGGCCCAAAACGAGCATGTGCCAGCCAAATTCGCCATAAGGATGGTGTTTGGAGCATTTGGATGGCCCGTGTACTCGGGCACCCGTTAAACAACATCAAACTGATGGTCCATTTAAGGAGTATGCAAGCACGTTCGAGCTTAGAATACACCTGCTGGTCTTTGACTCGAAGAAATTTGGCGACACCAGCCATTGCTTGGCAATGAGTTCATTCATTTAGTTGTCACTACTACGCTAGAAATGTCTACGTAGATTTCTTGCTGGATGAATTCCAGACATGTAGATTTCTTGGGAATCTCGGGAAGACGACGTTAAATGTCTTTTGTCTCGGAATTTGGAGGGACAGATTTCCCGGCCTTGCTGTGTGACACCATGTTCCAGATGTAAAACCCTGGCTGAGGTTGCGCGAGGCTGGCAAAAAAACCGCGCGGCGTACTCAGTACGGAAACGGAAGCTAATGTGTCTCACACGAGCACACTATGTGGCGGATTTGTTTGCCCGCTTCTGTTGCGGAGACCATCGCAAAGCATGGACTTGCACATGTGCAAAGTGCCAAGTGCCTTTAGAGTGAGATGTTTCGCTGCCTTGAGGCGGATCGAGGTACAGCACATGGAATCAGGTGCTGACTCGTGCCAACCTGAGAGCCTTCGCACAGGTTGCATTAGACCCAAGGCCCTCAATATCTTCGGCGGGTCCGCCAAAAGCCGAACAATGCATTTACAGGCGGTCTTGAGCCCTTGATAGAAGTGATGCTTCAGGTGAGCAAAGCATTGTGCATGACTGGCTGCTGTTTTCAGAATTTCAAGATCGTCCCTCAGGCGACGGCGCCAAAAACCAACCTGTCAGATTTGTTGGGACGAGGAAACACATCTTGAATTGTTCAAGGGCATGGAAGAAACCAGCGTTTGTTAGGCAAAACACGTGGACATCTATGTTCAAATTAGGAGAAATCTGCACTTCTGTTGTCATACTGTGGATGGACAGAATCCTGCATTTGTGGGTAGGTGGTTTATCCCAGTATTTGTGCATTTTCCTCCTCCCAACTGGTGCAGTATGTTTGTCCATCTGCATGTCGCGTCGAGAGGTGTAAAAGCCATGCCCCGATGCCAAGGTCGGAGGGTGAGGAAAACCTGCCGTGCGCCAAGGGTTTTAGGTCAAACCGGACGCGCAAAGGGAATTGCCGAGGCGACTTGTCTCGCTTGCTCTCAGAGGCAACTCTTTGCATTAGACCAGTATCAAAATGAGAAGCTCACCACTGGTTTCTGCCTAGGTGACCAGATGTCAGCTTCTTTGAAGGTTCGTTTGCTTGTGTTCCTATTGAATCGGGCTCTTCCCAAGACCTTCATTGGCGCCATGAATTTGGATGCTGATCATTCGGGGGGTACCATGGCACCTGTAGGAGGGCACCTGGAAGATCAGTTTGGACCCCTGTGAGGTGCCATGTTGGTGGGGAGGGCACTTAGTGAAGAACCTTCAGCTGTTGGCCCAGGCCCAGGCCCTACCAGAGGTGGGCAGATTGAGAGACCGATCTGGGCGTTTTTTCTGTGTTGGTGGCTTCAAACATCACCTTTTTGCCCACGTAAGGTGAATAGCCCTTAGTGATGTTTGAAGAGGAAACTTGTGGAACTCTGATGCGCCCCTTGAAGCTTACGGTGTCCTCTTGGGTTCTGAAATGACGCCTGGATAGCCTTTGAGTTTTCCTAACGTAAGCCGCTGCGCATCTCTGAATGCGAACCTCTCTCTTGTTGGTTGATCCCAGGAATTGAAGCAATGAATCATAGATAATCAAAGGGCAGTGCGCAGGTCTCCGGAAATCAGGTCGCACATGTTTGCGACGCACGTGACGAAGTTTTTTTTTTGGGGGGGGGGATCCCTCAGTGACGCGAGTTGTGATCCCTCAGTGATAGTTGTTTACGCGGAGTTTGGCCGAGCAAGCCCCTGTTGTGCGCCGCATTTTGGGTGGACCTGCCTGAAGTGCAATGGCTTTCCAGTGGCAATTGGCGAGCGCCAATCAAGTGCACGTGACATCCCTTGTGCAACAAGACCGTTGGGAGACATGGCTGTGGCTCAAAAAACCGGAATTCCAAAATGGGTTGCCCTGGTGAGTGGAAACATGGACCAAATCCTGCGGTTTGCCCCCCCTGTTTAATTTTGATTGCACCCACATGGCCCCATGTCCGGCCGGTACCTTCGGTTCAGATCCTACGCTTACAGCAACGTGGAGCTCCGCACGCCGAAGCCTCGGAAAGCCGAAGCGGACAGAACTCTTGAAATGGGGACCTGTTTCTGTTTTTGGGGAGGGTTCCCCTACTGATGGAGACAAAACCGAGAAAACAAATAGGGTACCCTTATTCTATCCTCTCAAATCTGGAGGACCTAGTAACCTCAAAGAAAGAGAAGGGTCCAGCATGAAACCAACACTCTTTGTCTGAAGCACCAGGGACGGACTTGAGCTGTGGATGGCAATTCATAGCGACCTGTATCAGGATTTGGTTTGAGACTTGTTTTAGCCCGTGATGAAGCTTCTTTTCGTAGGGCGTGGTTCTCCGTTGGTGGTTCTTTGTTCCCTCAGGATGCGGTTCACTCAATGAACAGTGAGCGTACCTTCTGTGTTAGATGCTTCAGGTTGGAGGTGCAGCTCTGAACAGACAGCATGGAGCCTCTTGTGTGCATGTGTTTTGATCGGAAAGAAAGTGTGCTACAAGGGCCGAATCAGTTAGAATGGGGTTATCAAGTACTTCTAAACCGATTTTAGTCCTGAAAAATTGCTTAAACAAATGCGTCGTAGTTGTTTCGTCCTTTGTGTCCACCATGACACGCGGCTTCGACCCTCTTCGATGGCCATTTGATTTTCCATTTGTCTCTCAGGGTGGGAGGAGTCCCCAGGCACGGTGCGGTTTCGGCGGTGGGTGAGGAGATAGTGGCAGCCAGAAAGATAGGTGAGTGTGGCTCAATATTAAACAGGAGGGGTTACGCAGGATTTGGTCCATGTTTCCATTTGACAGGGTTCCATTTTGGTACCGGATTTTTGAGCCACAGCCATGTGTTGAGATCCGACCGTTTGAACATTCACCCTGTTTCACTCCTTTAATTGCAGGTGTTATGATTCCTTTGGGGCTTGCCCAATGTGCACCTTCGGGGAACATGGCTTCAGAGGGTGCCAAACCGAAGGCCGGGCTGGCAGAACGGGGCAGAAATTCAAAGTGCTCATCCAAGAGGAATCCTTGACCTAGTTCGCCACAATGGGGAGGCTCTCCGGACTCCCAGTTCGACATGAGCCATCCTGAGGAATGATAGGCTTCGGGGAGGCCTCGTAAAGCATCCAGCTAGCTGAAAATGGCACGTGTCCAGGACATATGCTGGGTCGGATCCCATTTCTGGACACCAGAGGAAATTGTTCAGCATATCACCTGGACCGAGCCTCCAGTATCCAGGGAGGCAGCCAGATGTCCATGGTCACAACCTGCCCAATGTCAACCTTTCAATGTGTTCCTTGTTTGGCCATGACAACTAGAAATTCCGCCTTGCCACCTGTGGGAAGAACAGCGCCCCTGCAACACGGCAGCCCCGCAGAAATGTTGAGTAAAGCATATAACCCCGCTTTTGCAGCGGATGCTAGGTTGACTGAGGGTTCCTTCTTGATAGGTCATCTTCGGGTTTGCGAGGATTTTTGAGACCTAAACTGCGAGGAGCGGGCTCCCCCGCAGTGTTGGATCCATGGGGATCCCACTTGCCCCCCCGTCTCCAGAAAGCCCAAAAACAGGGTGAGAATCGAAAACTTGGGGAACGACGGGTTGCAGGGATACCTGACGAACGTCGACATCCGCCCTGCTTCAGAATCAGGAGCGACCCATCGCGGACGTCGCCGGGCACTTGGACTACGGCCAACGCCCAGGCCGAGTTTACAACTCGACCCAGTGGACAATTCCGTCCACTAGCAATTATGGTCCTGAACAAGGAGTCAAGAGGCAACGCCTGTTCCAATGACCGCAACGCTGCCAACAACAGATTGTCACATGGAGATGGAGGTCGTCAAGAGTAAAGTTGGCTTTGTTGACTTTCCCGCATGTGCGGCCGCAGCCATTAAACGTGGGCCCTGGAAAAGCGTCACTAAGGCGATGCTTCCCTGTGATTGTTGCGTAAAACGAAAAGGACATTAACGTTGAATCTGGACAAATCAACGAGCTCACCCGTGTCAAACGAGCTCAACCATGCTGAACGTCCAGTAAATCAACGGGGGGCAGGGGGGGGTGCTCCTGTAGCGACCAGGGTGCGATTATTCGCCCCTTGTTAATGCTGGTGCTCAGTTGTCCATAACTTTGCTTGGGAATACTTGTTTATGTTCCCTCGTTGGCTTTAAAGGGAACCTATCACTATTGTTTTTCCCCAACAGCTGAAAGCTTTGGGGTCTCAGCCCAGATACTGGGTGGTTCGGGGCGACCCTGAGCTAAGGTTCCACCAGGGTTCCACCAGGGTTCCACCAGGGTTCCACCAGGGTTCCACCAGGGTTCCACCAGAGTTCCACCAGGGTTCCACCAGGGTTCCACCAGGTTCTGCAAGGGCGGGGTGGTCTGGGGTGGTTTGAGGTAAGGTTCCACAACAAGGGTTCCACCAGGGTTCCACCAATTTCTTCGAGGGCTGTGGGTTTGAGGAAGGTTTTACGAGGGTTCCGCCAGGGTTCCACCAGGGTTCCAGGCTGCGGGGTGGTCTGGGTGGTTTGAGGTAAGGTTTCACGAGGGTTCCACCAGGGCCGCAGGGTGGTCCGGGGTGGTTTGAGGTAAGGTTCCACGAAGGTTCCACCAGAATTCTGCCAGGGTTTCACCAGGTTCTGCAAGGGCTGCAGGGTGGTCCGAGGTGGTTTGAGGTAAGGTTCCACCAGGTTTCCACCAGGGTTCCACCAGCCCGTCGTGCTCCGGACGAGGGTTCCACCAGGGTTACCAGGGTTCCACCAATTTCTTCGAGGGTGCGGCATGGTCCGGGGAAGGTTCAGGGTTTCACCACATTTCCACCAGCAGCGGTCCAGGCTGGTTTGAGGTAATGTTCCATGAGAATTCCACCAGGTTCCTTTCCTTTCACAAGGTTCTGTAACGGCTGCGGGGTTGTCCGGGGTGGTTTGAGGTAAGGTTGTATGAGGGTTTCAGGGTTCCACAAGATTCTGCGAGGGCTGTGGGCCCTGAGGTTTCACAGGGTTCCACAAAGCTCTGCAAGGATTCCACATGGGTTCCACAAGGCTCCACAATGCTCCACCAAGGGTGTGTCGTGCGCCCGTCGTCTGAAAAGCCATCGAATCAAGATCGCTTTGCTCATGGGCGGAACACTAAGCAAAACCGAAATCAATGGTTTTTAGCACACTTTCACTGTTTTGTGACTTGCTCACTTGCTCAGGCAAATGTTGGCTTTGTGGCAAATCAGATCACGTCGCTGCGGAACTCACGGTGCAGCAGAGTAAATGCTTGGCATTGCTGCTTGGTGGGCTTTGGGTTCCAAGAATTCCACGAGGCTGCGAGGGCTATGAGGTCAGAAGGTTTCCACCAAATTCTGCAAAAGCTATGGGGCAGCCCTGAGGAAAGGTTCCAGCAAAGTTTCACGCTGAGCTCCACGAAAGTTGCGTGAGAACGGTTTGCGAGGGCCTAGGTCGGGGCCCGATTGCAATGTCGGGGGCCCGATTGCACCGATTGGGCCCGATCGGCCCCGATTGCGCCATCGCGCCCCGATCGGGGCCCGACTCAATCGGGCCCCGTCAATTGTACCAAGCTGGCATCGCCTAGTTTTACTCTAGATACAGTTGCAATCCGCATACTAAGGAAAACCGGCGTTGAGCTATAATATGGGTGGCTGGGGTTGCACCACGGGACGATCGGGGCCCGATTGCAGATTGCACCGTCGGGCCCCGATCCCGATTGCGCCGTCGGGCCCCGATCGGGCCCCGATTGCACCGTCGGGCCCCGATCAGGCCCCGATTGCGCCGTCGCCCCGATTGCGCCGTCGGGCCCCGATCAGGGCGAGATTGCGCTGTCACTCGTAGCTTTGCTTTACAAGGCGGCATCCTCAGCAACACCGGCGGTAAGGATGGTCCTGGGGCGTTCCGCGAGGATTCTGGGAGGGTGTGGTGCTGTTGGGGATATCGCCCGAGCTTATTTTGTTTTTCTCGGTGGGCTTAAGCAAATCTAAGACAAGGGGAAGCCAATGGTTTGGGTAGACCGTCCGCTTGCGAAGCTTCAACTGCGCTTAAGACGCATCGGATAGCCCTTGGCATCCTTCTCGCCGGTCGGCAAGCAGGAAGGGGCTGAGAATAAACATCTTTGCTGACACGGGTTTCCTTGTGGGTCCCTGAAATCAACCCCAACATGCTCTCAAAAAAGACACCCAAGCTTGTTGGGCGCTCAACAAATCACCGGTGGTCGAGTAGCTTCCAATGCCACGTGGCTTTGGGGCAATCGACATTGCTGCTGGGATGAACCAACCTTTTTGCCCTTTTGGGTTTTCTGTGATGTTCCGATTTATCCAGGAAGTGACGATTTGTTCCAAGCCGGATCCGTTTGGCCAATTTTAGGGGCGCTTGGGCAAGGCCCAAAACTGCCGAAAATGGCTTGACAGCCATTGCATAACATGGACAAGCGGATTTAGGCAACCAACCCTTTCTGCGAGCGGCCAAAGGAATCGCATTCGAAGAGATACAGTAGCCAATCAACCATTTTGGCATCACAGAAAGCCCATGTTCCAGCGTGGGTCCACCAGTTGGCGTCATTGAAGCCATACGCTGATAGCGAGTTCACTTCCACAGCCACAACTTTTGCTCATGACCCATGCTTTCCCATGTTGCACATCTTCCAAGATGTTCCCTCATGTTCCCATGTTTGCCCAAATGGTCAAAGATGTTGTTATTTGTTCCCATGTTTTCCCATATAGATATCATTTCATCTTCCCTCAATAAGCGATTTCCGGCAGAAACCATGGAACCATCGCTGTGCTTCTCTCGCGAGACGTGCCCGCACCCGAGGCCTGGGTCGAAAGCCGCCAAGGCGGAGTGGGGCTTAGCCGGCTTGCAACCTGAGGTGAGGTGTTGGTTAAAGATACTCCCGGACGAACTGGCATAGAACACTCCCCCTCCAAAAAAAAGGAACGCACGAATTTGTTGGAGGAATCGCCTTCTACAAGAAATTGGCATGGACCCAAACCAAAACAAAGAAAGACACACAAACATCTTGTTCGGAGGCAACACCTTTTTGGGGGCCGCCTATTGGGCTGCTGGATTCCAGAGGTTTCAGCTTGCTCGAGGACTTCTAAAGCCTGGCCCAGTGTTTTTTGGGTGCATGGCAGTGTTGGCTGCTGCAGAATTACCCCAGAACTGGTCATGTACCCAAGGGACACCAAAGACGGCTTCTATTTTTCCCAGACCCCCTAAGTGTGGGCAAAATGTAACCCTGGCAAATGGAAACCAGGGCTCAAACCTGCGGCTTCTTGGTGGTGAATCTTGACCCATACCCATGTAGCACCCAGCCCGATGTAACTGAGGCCAAGTACAACACGGATCTGATCTATAGACCGCCCCCTCCGCAGCCAGAGACTCAAGATTTGGCTGAAGTGGATGGCGCGGTTTTGAGGGTATCCCTTTTTGCCGTGGTTTTTGCAGATTGAAATGAGAGGCAAACCACAATTTGTTTTTTGGTGTTTTTGAGACGCCAAGAGGAAAGCCACCATTCTGATCCCCTTCCCCGAAAAAAATGGACCTTTTGACGTCTCCCAGGTTGACCCATGCTCTGTTAAGTTTCAGCAGGGTTAGCCTGCTACGTCTCAGGTCCTTTCGGCGAGGTTTCGGCGATGAAATCTCGGCTTTTCCGCAGAAATCCGCTTCCCCAGCTTCGGTTTTGAAGCCAAATGTCTCGCCTGCCAGGCGACTGCAGGGTTTGTTTGTCGAGGACAGGGACGGTGAGGTAAAACGTGCAGATCAATCGCTGGGCGAGAGAGGACGGATTCTCAGGCGAGCTTAGCAACTCTGAGCCAAATGGTGCGTCTTTGGAGCAGCGTGCATTGGTGTGTGTTGAGGGAGCCCTGTTTGGGGTGGATTGGCTTGGTTTTCAAGGATCAACAAACCGTGAGGGGCCGTACATTTTCGAGACAGGCCCAGGTACTTCCATCCACTTGCTAGGTGTTCAGAGAGGTTCAGAGCAACGGGCGGCACCATTGAAAGGATTTCTCTTCATTTCTCCGAGGAATCAATTCCCCACTAAGAGGGGCTTGTCACGGCCCGGATTCGTCCAGAGGTTGACATTGGTTGTTAAGCGTTCAGTGTCTGAAGCCTTCAGCTTCTGGGAGCCTGAAGTTCATGGCTCTGGTAGGTCCTTGCGTGATATTTCTGGGCCTGCGGCCTCTAGCCGGCTACGCCTCTTTGAAGTTATGCAATGTCATGTCATGTTTTTTTGTATGAGAAACGTATCCTGTGCTATGATATGGCTGGTTAGGTTATGCATGTTGCCCAGAGGTTAGGGTTAGAGGTTCGGGTTAGAGGTTAGGGTTAGGGTTCGAGGTTAGGGTTCGAGGTTAGGGTTAGAGGTTAGGGTTAGAGGTTAGGGTTAGAGGTTCGGGTTAGAGGTTAACCTCTAGGCGTGTCAAAAATCCGCCGCGGGACCCCCCCACCACCACTTAGAACACGCCTCGCCCTTTGCAGAGACTAACTTGGCTTTTGCAAAGGGGTCGGCGGATTTGTTGTTTGGCCTGGACGCAGTTCAGCGGTGTGGACCCCTTGTTCCCGGCGCCTTGTTTGTTTGGCGGATTCCTGATGCCTTGCAACCACAAAGGCGTCATGCTCTAGGAGGGTGATTGGGCAGCTGCGTCATTTCAGTTCGAGTGGAAGGTAGTGGGTTTCCTCATTGGGTCAAATCGTTTTATGCTGGCGTATGAAGACCCCACCCCCATTCATGGTACAATTATTCTCACCCGTTCTGGGCAGAGTTGTTTCAGATCAGATCAGATCCAAGGCCAGAAGACTCGCGTCGCAACTCAGAGCCAGATGTGAGGCTCGCTCGGGACGCGGGAGGGGAGGGGTCAGGTCGGACTGCATGGAGAATGGAAGATATGGTGAAATATGGCTATGAATTGGGGGAGCCATCTCAGAAGTGGTTGCTGGACATTGATCCGCACCTAAATGATATCCACCAAAGGGTCCACAAAATTGATTTGCATAGGCTTATTAAAGGGGGCCAGAGAATTGCAGCAGTATGATCAGCACTGAGTGTTGTGTGAAAGCACCTCACAAGCTTTGATAGCACCGACTAGCCACGCTTCAGTTGGGAAATAGTGTTGTCCGCTGCTCATTTGGGTGGGATCTCTCGTAGCACACCCCCAAGTCTTGAAGAAAAGCCAAGCCCTGACAAAATGTCCACTGCAGGGTGGTCGCCTCCTGCTGCAGTCCTTTGTGCCGAAGCTGGCCTTGTTCCAGTGTTGAGTTACCGGGCCTTGTCATTGCCGCCATCGACTGCTTTTCACATATTCGTCATTCGTGCTATCAATCAGGCACGTTGCCCGGGGCTTGAGCCAATCCCCGGTGGTGTGGGTGTATAGCATTTGGCCTTTTTGTGTTTGTTCCCCACCAAAGCTGACACCCTCCCATTAACACGGAACCTGTCAGGGGGGGCTCCATGTTGGGAAGAAAACCTCGAGGTCCAGAGAGGCTCGGGGACCCCGGGGGCCATGACCTTAGAGAACTTGGCCAGAGTCACCTGAGAGACGTCGACCTTGGCAGCTTCCAATGTTCCTAGTTCGATCCACGCTCAATCCTTCAGGGCAAGCCGGTTCAATTCTAGGTCAGTGCCATGTGAGGTTGTAGCCGTTGGAGGCAAGCCCGTGTTCCGCCGGAAACATGTCACAGGCGCCCTTGTCAGGTTGGTTAGAAGGAAAACCAAAAGGAAAATCAGTGTGAACTCGGGCCTTAATATGACAAACAGCTGCGGGTTCAAGTCTGACAGGATTCCCTACAAGAACCCTAGGCCCTCTTCTCCACAAAAAGCACTCATGTGCGTTTCAAGGTGGCTCCAAATTGGCAGTCCTCAAAACACTTTGAATTCCCTTGAAAACCGCCAAAGAAGGCCTACCCTGAAGAAAAAAAAGAGATGCCCATTTCAAGCTTTCAGGTTGGGCTGGCTCCTTTTGGTGTTTCCAGGTTGCCCACTGGTTTGGCGAATTGAAGCCATGGTTCTTGTAGAGGGTAAATGAGAAAACACCCCTAACCTCCAAACTACCAAGCCAAAACCGCAACCAAGGGGAAGCGGACACCACATATCCTTGGCCTTTTTTCGGAGGGCTGAGGCTGCCCGGAATTGTGTTCCAAGCAACTGTTTCGGTCACGTGCGCGAACTGATTGGTGCTTTGGACATTTGGGACCGTTCATGGCAGATCCCTATTGGGTGCCAATAACAGCCCAAGCGGCCGAAAGGGTGTTTTTTAGCTTTTGCCAGCAGCCTATTTAACACCCAGCCTATGAGAGAGCGTGTGCTGCAGTTTGGTATTCTGTGTATTTTGCAGCCCCTGACGGCCCATTAAAGTGACGTCCTCACCCCGGAGCCTGTGATGCACTCGTTTTCGTGATCATCCACGGCATGCGCGTCTTTCTTAAAATGCGGCGTCGACCCCGTTTTGGCCGGTATTTCAACGGCAACCCAAAGGAAGCCCGCCCAAAAAAATAAGAGGACCCATATGAGATCCCCCCCACCATACACATGGGAGTGTCCTTCTTTTCGGGGCACCCCCAAATGGCCCCCAAAAATCATTTTGGTTTTCCTCATGGAATCCAATTAAACGCCTCCAAAAAAGGGTATTGAGCCTCAAACAAAAATGAGGGGCCCTGTTTGGCCGGTTTTGCAGGGAACATTTACAGTGGGTCCCGCAAAAACATACATTTTCAAATGAAACTAGGGGGGGAGGGTTGCCTACTAAAATAGACTGCAGAGAAAGGGGTACCCTTATTCTAATCTCACTGGAGGATCTAGAAGACTCCTCGGCTTTCGCCCCAGGCCTCTGCCGTCGCCGGATGTCATGGCCAAAGCTGCGAATGCCCGGAGTCTGCTCTATGTGCCGGTGGACGTGACCGACGCCTCGATGTCTTCCACTCTGCCACGCAACTCGTTGCAAATGGACGTGTTTTGAACTTTGTCCACCCCCCAACCACTGCTTCTTGGACACTACCAGGGAGATATTGAACATGGGTTTCTTTAGGTATATTTCCCCTGTTTCGACAGCCAGTGCCAGCTGAAGTGTGTTTGTCTAGCCTGTGTTGGTTCCCCACTTTGGTCCACCCACCTTTTTGGTGTGTTTCTTGATTGACTGCTATTGGGTTGGATCTTTAGACTTGAACTTTTTGGGAAATCCAGGGGTTTTCCGTTAATTGTTTAAAAAGTTAAGTTTTTTGCAGGGGGGTCAACAGCAACCAAGGTTTTGGCTTGTCCTTTTTCAATCCTCACTGTAGGGTTGCCTCACTTGAGGCAATGGGAAGGACAGAGACCTGATCTACAGGCCGCCACCGCCAAAGCAAAAGCCTCAGACCTGCCTGGCTGATGCTCCTCTCGGAAGGATACCTGGTAGCTCTGGCAATCAAGTTGCTTCATGTACTGAGCCCAAAAGATCGAACTGACTGGGCACGCGTTGCAGCTGACTGTTCATCAATTGAAATTACCCCCTGCCACTGGGAACCTAGGATTAATCAGCCAGTGGGAACACACCCCTCCATTGATCCGCCAGTTTTTTCCATTTGGGGATGACACTTGGGAATCTCTCGAAGCGTCATTGTTCGAACGTTTTTAGACAAGAGCCTTCTCTTGGATTTCCACATCCTTCAGTAGCACCAATTCTTCCTTTCCTGTTTGGGTTCCTATAACTAAAAAGTTGGCAAACCCCAACCCTCCTGGTTTTTGCCTCTCTCTCTCTCTCTTTGATGGACTGGGTTCCAGCCCCCAGCCCAGAAAGGGGGTCAGTGACACCCATGTGCCGTTTGTTTTGGGTATCTAGAAAGTTGGGCGACGCCCCCAGGCCGGACTTGAGACGCCGCGACTCCGCGCCGGACCTCCAGCTCGGAAGCTCAGAGAAGGGCCCTCCCCAAATGGGGCGGGGGTGGGGGGTGTTCTCATGGGTAAGGCTCCAGAGGAATCCACCAAGTGGCTTCGCTTCGGTCTCCCAAAGGACTGGCCACACCCTTTGGAGGGAGGTGCTGGCCGTAAGGGTGGCCAGATCAGGTTCACCCCCCCCCCCCCGGACTTCCAGCGACAGATTTGTCGCTTTCGGAGGCGGCCAGCAGCCAGGCGAGAAAGCATCATATTTTAGAGAAACAGGGGAGGGGGTTGGTCGGAGGGGGCTGGATCCTATGGCTCAACGAGGAGCTTCAATTTACTGGGTATTACATCGCCCATAGAGTTTTTCCCCCAAGAGGCACCCGGAAGGAGATGGACATGTTGTGTTGTCCTGGCCTCTACGCATAATCCGCTACGATCTTTAAATACTGGGGCATAGGTGGGAACATGATTTCCAGCAGCATTTGCTTTGCAAGGGCTGTTGCCAATCGGTTGAAAAGTCACCCATCACATGTGTTGCTCTTGTGGGTGTATGCTGCTTACGAACAATCACCAGCTTGTAGTTCGAGACATGGGCGCGTGTTTGTTGAGGGTAGCTTGTTTGAGGTTGTTGTGAAGAACCGCTTGTTTTTAGAGAAGTAGTAAATGTCTTCACTTGCCACCCGAAAGCCGATTTCTGGAGACCGGAATGCTGAAGGATCACTCCCATTGTCAGTGGCAACCATGCCTTCGAGCTTCAATCAAATCCATGGTGCCAAACCTCTCATTGGGCTTTTGGGCAGGATAGGAAGACTTCGCAGTTGGGGACTTTTTTTTAAGTTCGGGGGTTTAGGCTCATTGCTCACCCAACCGTTCCCTGAATGCTTTGATGGGGGGGGGGGTTGCCTGAGTCTGGCGCCCAAGTTTGTGGAGCATTCTTGATGCTGAAAATGGGCTTGCTCCAAATGAGGGGACCCCGAAACTGTTTGGTTTCCTGGTTTCCATGGTTAAGAAGATGCAAATCCGCAACGGACACAGTCCCGCAAAAAAGAACAGTATGAAGGATGCATCAGAGAATTCAACCACACAGGCCGGAGGCTGCACTGTCCAAGTAAGCCTGAGAACGCGTCCCGTCCCAGAGACCCCTTTGCAACACATGTCTTGTGGCTTCCCTTGAGCATGGAAATGGTTTAAACAAATCAGGGTCCCTCATGATCTCCGGTTCGGAAATTCCGATGGCTGCGAGATCCGAGAGATTAAAAACGGCACTCGCAGCTAGAGAGGAGGTCATGCTGGAGTCCCCTCATCTTTCGCTTTCCTTGGACCTCCAACAGTGGCTTCGTTGCAACCCAGCAGCAAACTGTAGCTTTTGGGAACCCTCGCTTGCCTGACGCACACTCAGGGAGCACATATGGAAGCAGAGGCCGGGTCCTTTTTATGCATTTTTTCTACTCGGTTTGAGGTCCCATGGCGCATTGCGTTCTACGTGTGAGTGCCAGAAATGCGTGAAAAGACAACACATAGAATGATTGGGAAAGCGGCGGCACCAGCGTTTTTACCAGCATGAGGCTTTCATGTGGCAATTTGCTCTTGACTTCTGAGAAAGCTATCCACGCCGAAGTACTCGAAGGAGCCACATCCCCGGTTGGCGCTGCTCGCATGGAGTGCGGCTCTGACCAAAAAATCCTGGGGCCGGACCTGCCCTACACCCAACAGGTTTACCCTCCCTTCTAACATTGCGCCTGTAGGGGAGATGGATCTTCGATCTTCCAGGTACTCTCATAAAGTTGCCATGTTTGTGGGAGGGAGTGTTTATTTGTTTCAAGTCAGTTTGTGTACTTCCAGGCTGTCGGCAGAGGGGCCAGCGAAAATACATACAGAGTGATTGGTCTCTCCGTTTTCTTCGCAGGCCGAAGTCCAATGCGTTTGGAGCTGAGATCGACTCCAAGCCTCAAGAGGGTCGAGACTGGGCGGGGTGTTTTAGGGAACCAAATGGGTTGTTGCAAAAGGGAAGCCAAAGAGAAACCTCTGGTTTCGGGGGTTCCCGGAGACAAACCCGATTGGTTTCCTTTAAGCCTATTTTTTTTAGCAGTGAGGCAACCTTCACGGCTCACGTTTTAGCCCTTTGGTTTCCGTTTGCTAGGCTATGTTTTTCGAGTGGCCCCAAACAGCCAATCATGGCCAAGCTCCTATGTCCGTTGGAAAAGTGAATCAATCACAGCACCCTTTCTGGCATCCCTTGCTTCGCGTGTGTTTGGTAGGGTTGAATTTGCTCAAACAATCGTAACCACAGTGACGGGAAGGCATGTTTAAGGGCTTTGGCCTCGGTCCCTTACACCTCCCCCCGCCCCCGGCTGGAGCTTGGCGCAAGCGAAATCTCCGAGATCCAACCCGCCATCTCCCACCTCCGAGACAGGCTTGAAGGACATGGGGGTCCAGCCCAAAACCATATGAAGTTTCAACCTGGGATCCTTTAGATGTCAAATTCGGTGGATGAAAATGTCCGCCAACGGAGGACAGGGCTCTCTAGCTAAAACCGTAGTCATGCGGGTGTCGTTTTTGAGGGTACCCCGTTTGGAGCGAAGGGAAGTAAGGACGCTCACCATTGGAGATTGGGTGCCCTACTGTGGATGGACGAAATCCTGCACCACCTAAAAAACCCTGGACTGATGATTCCCCTGTAAATACCAATAAACAATAGTTTCCCATGGTTTCAAAGTGGTGCAGGATTTCGTCCATCCACAGTATGTTAAGAGTTTTGACTTTGGGGAAGCTCGAGAGAAGTTGAACCTCTATTGGCAGGTGGTTGGCTTAGTCAGTTGTTACTTGAATAGCCCATGGTGGATTCCAATACGATGCCAAAAGGGACGGGCAGTTTTGTGGCCAACACCCCCTCAAATCAAGTAGGGGTTGGCGCTATCCTGAAAGGAACCCCCGGCTGCTTGAAACCGTTCCTTGGGCGATCCTTTGCAGAAGCAGCAACCCCAGAAAAAGAAAGGATCGTCCAAGGAACGGTTTCAAGCAGCCGGGGGTTCCTTTCAGGATAGCGCCAACCCCTACTTGATTTGAGGGGGTGTTGGCCACAAAACTGCCCGTCCCTTTTGGCATCGTATTGGAATCCACCATGGGCTATTCAAGTAACAACTGACTAAGCCAACCACCTGCCAATGGAGGTCCCGTCTCCGGCCCTGACTTGCTCGTATCCATCTGGGTGCATCGTGGTTCCCCGTCCGTTTGTTGGGGTTGTTACTGAAGGGAAGCCGAAGGAAAACCACCCATTGCGATGGTCGCACCTGTTACACGAGAGAGATGGTTCTGACCAGGATAAGCTCCTCCAGCGTGTGACGGGTGACCAAGACGCTTACGCCATTTGTTTGAGGCTGGTTCTCAAATCTTAATGAACTGATAGCCTTCAGCACTGTTTTTTTGGCCACGTAGCATGCGCGCAACTTAGGCTGCGTGAACAAATCGTCCAAACTCCTTTTCCTGTTCAGCGTCCAAACTTTGAAGTCAGTTTGAGTAGATCTCTCCGTCATTTGAATAAAGGACTATACAGCTGAAGCTTCTTTGGCCAGTGAATTGAACAAGTCAGTCCCGTATTTTGGGATGAGAATGAAGGTATGTTGACTGCTGCTCATTGCCCACGTGACCCCCTGCTAGGAAATTCCATGTGGGCATGGCTGGGAATCTGCCTTCGCATGTGTTTTACTCCAATTGCTCGGTGATTCGGCAGCCAAGCCAACACCATGAAGACTACTTTGGTGCATTTTGCTTGGATGTTAGGACTTTAACTTCTTGCCAACGAATAAATGTTCCATCACGCCACTTAAAGTTAAACTTTTAGCAGGGGAGCAGAAAGCAACCGAGACTGAGCTGTTGGCAATCCAGGAGCTGACTCGGGGTGAAGAACCCCAGCTCTTGCTTGGGCCCCGAGTCTCACTCGGGCTGTCAGGGCCGGGGTCCATGCGGTCAGGGCCAAGGCTCCTGGACTTGATCTTGTTTTCCACTCAGCCCGCCAAAAAGTTAAAAACGTGTTGCAGGGGGTCAACAGCAACCAAGTTATGTTGGGAAGGCCATGTCAGTTGTAAATGAAAAAACATCGCGAGACATGACCCGCAGTTTCAGTGATTCCTCGCCCCAGATGGGTTTGCCACCCTTTCTTTGCCAGGCTTTGTGTGGTTGGGGCAGCTTACAGTTCATCAACCAAAGGGTGTGTGTTTCCACATCTGGGTACTTTTTCTGCGGGGCTGGTTTTGGATGGCCTGCCCTTTGGGTCCAAAGCCCTCGCCGTGTCAATGGACCCCATCCCGGTGGATTGCTTGAGTCCAAGCCTTTGGCGCTCATTTCGGAAACGACTTGATGATGGGTTTGGGGATTTGAAGCTCTGGCTTTTTGGTTGTACCGTTTTACCCGGATTTTTTTTCCCAAAAATGGCTTCTTCATTCTTCTGGAACCGTTCCACGGAAACCAACAGGGCTGAATCCTGTTTAAGTTTGAGTTCAACGGGTCAGAAACTTGGTTCGGAAAGATGTTCGAGCGAGGCCCCCCCAAAAGGTGTTTGGGGTGGCTAGGTTCTGGTTCCACATATTATGCCCAGACATGGCCAAGGCGAAATGTATAGAAGCCACTACCCCCAAGGCGTTTAATGCGATGTACAGCTACCACGCAAACAAATTAAGAAAACAAACAGATTGTGCCCAGGTTTGCCCTGCATTGGAAATCCTCTTGGACTTGCTGGTTCTCAGTAAAGAACCGTTTTTTGGGAACGCACCCCTTTGAAGGAAACGCTGGGGACTTTTTTTCTCTCAACTTCCTTGAGAGGCAGCAACTCGCGTGCCGCTTGAGCCACGGATCGACGCTTTCTCAAGGTGGGAACGCTCTCGCTCTCGCTCTCCCGAAAAGCTGGCGCGTGCCTCGCAATTCTCACTCTTCCCGCCCCAGGCCCCAGAGTGATGGTTGCACCTTTTCCCTACAGCCCCGTGTTCCCTCTTTGGTCTCCCTATTGGTTGCTTGTATTTCTATGTATCTTTCCGGTGTGTTCGTATACGTCGCCTGTTTTGCTACTATGCGGGGCGATCTAAGGGGCCTGTGGAAAATGCAACATTTTGCGGCTTGTTCACTGGTGGGGGGGGTTCTTTCCTTCCAGCCCTCGCTTGAAAACCCCCCCAAAACCCAAATTTGTGCCCGGTCTACGGACTGGGCACATGCGCCAGCAATGTTGTGCCTTGCATTTGGCACGGCCAACCAGCTTCAAGCGATTCCTTATCTCAAGAATCATAGAAGGCTGGGGGGGAGGGGAGGGGGAGCAATAAGGCCTTATTAGGGGCGTTTTTTAGGGCTTATCTGGGCTCCCTCCCCCCCCCTTCCCCCCAGCCCCATGAAAGAAGGGATCCAGCTTTGACAAGGTTCCTCTGAAGCGTGGCTCTTTGGGTTCCATGCTGAGAGAATGGTGCTCGCCTGCACCAGCGGTTTGCTCACTTGCGGTTGCCCTTATTGCGATTGTTTTCCTGCAATGGCCGAAAGACGCTCATTTGTATGCGTTTTACCGGGTCTTTCCAAGGATATATGTGGTTTTCAGTCAAAAACAGTCACTTCTACCACCTGACTTACAAAGAATATTTTAGGTGCTTCCTTTAAGGACCCCCGATTATGATACGTCCCAACCCAGCTTCATCCGTTTTTTCCCTCGTACATATCATGGGATTGTGAGAGGGCGAGGGCATGAAGAGCTTGATTGAGGGAGCCGGCAAAAGCTCGGCCAAAGAGGCGTTAGCCTTCAACCTTCACAGCAGACTGACTTGTTGAGCTGATGGACTTTGATCTGTTTTGGGTTTGAACCATGTTGGTGGTAAATCGAAAGTTCTCACTTTCGGCCAATGGACTTCATACTTTTTGGGTTTGGACCATTTTGGTGGTAACTAAAAGCTTCTGACTTTTTTTCGGCCAATCCACTCGGGAAGTGAGAAGAACATCAACGAAGTCACTGTTCAACAAAACGGGTCCATAGAGGATCCCCAACCCCACTGGTCCATAGAGGATCCACAGAAAAGCCACTTGTTGCTGTTGAAGGACCCACTTTGTTGTGCAGAGGATCCCCGCCACTGAGGCATGGCGAGATGGACAGGAGGCAGGGGATGTGAATGCGCCGCAGATCTCCAGATGCCACCCGTGGTTGGTTGTTTATTTTTGGGAGCTGGCGACTCTATTTTATGGTTTTCCGTGTGGTTTCACGAAAAAAAAAGTATTTGCTCAAGAATGACTCCCGTTGAACCTGTTTTGTTTGGAGTTCGTGCCTCAATGGAATCTAGCAGCAGCCAAGGGTTTAGATGCTTTTTCGAGCAGGTTCACTGAGCGAGTGGGCACATGCTCCCATTCAATGTGAACTTCGGACTGATCAATAGGACCATACGAGTCAAATGTAGAGGAATCCGCCAGCATTGACTTCCCCCACTCAAGAGGGGCTTGGCACCCTGATTAGTATGGTCCTGCCTTTGTTTGATCCAAAGGTTACGTTGAGCTGCCCACCTGCCGGATGTTTTCCCTGCGGATTGCACGACTTTGGCTTTCCCAAAATAAAGGCTACATTTCGAGGAACCGGGGGCGAGTGAGGGGCTGCGGGGGGGAACATTTAGAGGGGGGCCTGTTGTGGTTGTTGGTTGTTGTTGTTGTTGCTGCTGCTGCTGCTATTGCTGTTGCTGTTGCTGTTGCTGTGCTGCTGCTGCTGCTGCTGCTGCTGCTGCCATCGCCGTCGCCGTCGCCGTCGCCGTCGCCGTCGCCGTGGTGGTGGTGGTGGTGGTGGTGGTGGTGGTGGTGGTGGTTGTTGGTGGTGATGGTGTTGTTGTTGTTGTTGTTGTTGTTGTTGTTGTTGTTGTTGTTGTTGTTGTTGTTGTTGTTGTTGTTGTTGTGGTTGTGGTTGTTGTTGTGGTTGTGGTTGTGGTTGCGGTTGTGGTTGTGGTTGTGGTTGTGGTTGTGGTTGTGGTTGTGGTTGTGGTTGTGGT